CCCAATTTGATTTCCCGTCCCCAAATGCACAGAATCATGCGGGAACACCATTTCGCCCACTACAGCAAAAAGGAAGACCGAAACAACAACCACACTACCATTGCGGCGACCACAACAACAATGAAGCCGCGTCACTGCCAATGATCGACGAACTGGACAAGCAGTCTACCGTCGACTACAACAACAAACACCTAAAAACAACCCGTCATCGACGGCAAACCCTCCGAAGTAATTGCGCGCGCAAGCGAAAGACGCAAGCACTATGAATCGACTACGGCGGAACACGACTAACATGTTATTCATTAAAATAGGACATCATATTGTGTCCGCTTTCGAACGAATTCAGTTTTGGCTACAGCCTAAGCAGATTTTTTTTTTTTTTTATGCGGAAGTGTGCTGAGATCCATACTTGTTCATAATAGTAATAAGCAAGGTGTGCCCGATATGCAGAAGCGTGCTGAGATCCATACTTGTTTATAATTGTGAGGACCAAGACCCCTTGATTGTGTCCTTGTCGAAGAAGTTCGACAAGTGTGCTGAGATCCGTACTTCTTAAGGATTGTGATGAGCAAGGCGGCTTAATTGTATCCTTCTTGGACAAGCTCGCTTCCACTATTCCGAAGTAACGTAGGCATGTCCATCCTCTCGGCCGAAACATCTAATACTTATATGAATGTTTGGTGAGATTCCGTCTTCTTTACAATGCTTGGTATAACGACTGGCATGCCCAGGCAATTGGCCCGCATGCAGAAGTGTGTTGAGATCCATACTTCTTATACTTAAAAAATTTAATGAGCAAGGCGTTACAACCGAATCGATGTTGGATAACATTTTTATGAAGCGCCTTGATTGTCTCCTTGTTGGACAAGCTTGCTTTGGTTATCTTTCAGTAACACAGGTATGCCTATCCTCTCAGCGAGTCGGTTATATGGATTCGGTGAGATTCGTGTTCTTTAGAAGGCTTAGTATAGCGACAAGCACGGCCAAGCACTTGGCCAACATGTGGAAGTGTGCTGAGATCCATACTTGTTATACTTTAGAAGGCTTAGTATAGCGACAAGCACGCCCAGGCACTTAGCCAACATGCGGAAGTGTGTTGAGATCCATACTTGTTATACTCAAGAAATTTGATGAGCGTGGTGTCCTAACTGAACTCATGGTGGATAATACATTTCCGAATGTCATCGCTATTGCACTTTATTCAAGTGATGCAATGTATGTTTGATAATATCTGGGCTTATTTCGCTATGTGATGAAATGCATACAAAGAAGGGGGTTGATTATATTGGCAAGCAACATCTGCACTTGAGCAGGCACAGAAGTCCTAGACATGAACACGAAGTCATTTGTTAAATGCATTATAGGCAATCACAAAGCAAGTGATGGTCGCGTAATGAACTGCACACTGACGCACTTATCGCGAGTTGTTACACATGGGCACACCAAGTTATTATACCGCACAAGAAATTCGGATATCATCTGATTTCAATTATTATGCACACTCTAGGTTCTTGTATGTGAAATTCGGAGAAAAGAACGCAACAAGAATTTGTCCCACCGCACGAGAAAAGATGCAGATGACAAAGTCTACAAATGCAACCATACAGACAACGACCATCCTAAACAGAAGTCGAAATTGAACGAATAAAAGAGAACGAAGTTGCACTGAGAAAGGCAGTGGAGTATTGTCATGTCTAACCAAATACAATCGCCATTTAATAAAATATAGTCAAAAAAATGTACAGAAGTCATGAAAATCAATCAAAGACAATGGTGTTCCAAAAGACATGTTGCCAATTGTCGTCTAATTACAGGTATATCTTCAGAAGAGAACCTGATAGATGGTCGATCACCTCGTTGCAACAGCGTTGCAAACGTCAACATGAACACCCCGCAACTAGCTCCGTCAACTTGTCTCGGAACTCCTTCCACAACAACGTTCCCCGCCATAGACTTCCAACTCCTACGCGACCGGTCATGTGAGGTATGGCGTTCTAAGTATTGTACAATCAACTCGAAAACACTAAGGTAGAAACACGAATCTGCTATAACGCGAGGATAGGAGTCGAAAATCTCGAAGATATTGTCCCTCAAATTGATAGAAAGGAGGATCCACTGGTCATTGTCTTTGTGCACCGGAATGAAGATCATATCGAAGTGAAGCAGATTTACATTCTTAGCCCATCTTTCCACCCCACCGTGTCCATGACGTTGCAGCTTACTGAAGAAGAACGAACTGAAGCTGAAGACTCGAAGGCCTGATGATGTTTGACGTGCCATGCATGCAGTCAACCCCAAAAGCGCCATGTAGAAATTCACCACCTCATCGTTGAGCTTCCCATCGACAAGCAAGACGGTGAGCAGATCTTTAGCTGTGATTCTCACTTGACCATCACCGAAAGTAGATAGAACATGATGAGGTGGCACCAAGCCTCAGGATATGTCACCCATAACCGTCAAGACTCGAGGCGCAATCACGTTATCGAAAATCCCCCCGCAGGCTCCACGTGCTCTGGCGCGAACTGTACATCATCGACCAATGCACACGCTGGGTTGTGAGAAATGGTATTCTAAAGATTGTCCCTCATCGCGCAATGCTCTGCTAAGTATTTTTCATACATGGCCTGACCCCTAGTCACAGATCGTGGATACGTCCCCTTCTCCGGAGGCAGAAGGGAAAGACATTCATCAATGGCCACGGCATGGTCCTTCTCCCCAGTCTCGACATCAACCCCTGATGCCTTTAACATATTCTTGTGTCTTGTCGTGAACCCGGGGACTTTCTGCAATATTCGTGCCGGATATTTCGAGAAAATGGAGGACCTCCGTTTCCGAGTCGACCCTACCCCTGTAAAACAAAAGAAAGACATAACCCGAAATGAATATACGATTCGATGAAACTTGAAAAGTAAAACATTGACATAGCCATGCAGATGATGGCCTCTCCAACCAGTGGAGTTTGTCATCACGTGGTCGGCTTCAGCGAGGACCATGTGAGCCTTTGGACACGAAGATGAGGACCGCAGTCAAGCCTTAGACCCCTACACAACGCGAAGCAAGAAAACATCAGGCCAAACAGTATGGAAGCCGACAAACGACGAAGTTCGGATTCCGGCGGACTAGAAGCGACAACGGGCAGACACCGACCAACCACGTCCGGCCCTGACAATGGAAGTGAGGATATCGGCGCATTAAAAAGATCGGACCTCTGGAAGGTCTTTTTTTCGCACACCGCTGGTGTCGTCACGACCAGTGTCGGCACGAGACGGAAAGCCGGCACTTGCGCATGCGCGGATGCCGGCGGAGTATCAGAGAGTAAGCACATCACGCACCCACAATAGAAGCGCGGACACTGGCGGACTTAAACAACCAGTAGATAGAAGGGTGGTTTATCTTCTCGGCAGGGGTTGTTTGGTCCGCCGGTATCCGCACTTGTATTGTGGAAGGGTGACGACGTCAGTCTCTTTGTGCCGACGTCAGTCTCTGTGTGCCGGTCGTGGATGAAAGTCCGCCGGAATCCATACTTAACCATGTGCCAGCTATCCTCATGTCGTCGACAATGGTAGTGCGGATACCGGCGGACTACAACGACCTGTCCTGCCAACGAAAGAATAGCACACTCCAGACGACGCAGACAAGGCAGGTGTGTCATACCGAAAGGACCGAATGTTGTAGTCCGCCGATATCCGCACTTGTTGTGTCAAGGCCAACACCCGTCGATCTGTAGGTGCCCCTCATGGCTCGAGTTTTGGCGCAGCGAGAACTGCGCCAGTGTTGAGAATCCTCTTCTGTGGCCGCACAGACCTCCGTCTTCGCTACCGTCCATGGGAAGGCGGAACTTGTCCTCGCCTCAACGACAGGATGGTTGACTGACATCATTGGCACTCTAGAGACGTTAGCGTGCAGACGTGGCGAAGATCATTAACGCTTACCAGCCGGTTTCTCCCTCCGTTCCTTCATCGGCAACAGGGGCGCGAGTAAGGCGAGCACCGCGATAGGCTGAGCCGCCAGCCTGCTTTTTTTCGGGGACGTCAGATGCTAGCAGTCGGGAACCCCGCCACCCATTGCGCCATGGAAGGTGTCTGCTAGGGTCGGAGAGCAGGGCGACGGGCCCTCCAAGTCGGCGCCTAAGGAATGATCGGTGTCGACGCGCCCGACGGTTTTTGTAGGCGGGAACGGAGTTGATATGGCCTGTTGTTCGCGGAGTTTGCAATCAGTGACATCGTTGACGTCCATTCGACGATTCGTTTTCGTCTGGCCCACTGCCATGGCGACCTCGTCGCACACGTCCCGGAGATGCAATGCCGGCGCCAGCGGGTGCACGTCACAGGCATCCGGGTCTGCGAAAAGGCCAATGGACACCTGAGTCTCCATTTCTATCGTCGTCGCTTCGTCGTCGACATCACCTCCGCGTTGCATCATGTACAAGTGTCCGAACGAGTCAGACGACTCACCTTCCATGGCGCAGCTTCTGTCCCCGCACACGTCTCATCTTCTGCCCGCCCGACGACCTCTGACTGCAAGTCCATTCCCCAGCAAGTTCGGATACCGGCGGAGTTCAAATTGCACAGCACGGACGGCGCCCCGCTATCCAACCGTGCGTTGAACTCTGCAGGCTGCCCGTTTCCGACGGCCGACGCAGTCCTCTGCCGCGTAGAAAAGTCATCGGACGTCGCACCGGACGAAACCGAAGTGCGGATTCCGGCGGACTTCCTTTTGGCACCCGTTTCTGACACTTCTGCTCCTGTAGCGCTGTGCAGGACGGGCTCCCCATTGTGCACCTCAGGAGGCTTCGTCCGAATAGCGGCAGACTTGTCCTTGACGCTGGTGATCGGAACACTCGCACTCGAGCCTCTCCCGGTGCCAACGGAAGCCACGAAATCAGTCGTCAAGGGGAGGGCCGACCAATGTGTGGTGGATGCAGCGCGGACGCCGACGGACTTCGCAGCGTCCAAAGGCGGCGGCTCCACGTTATGAGAAGTTCGGATGTCGGCGAACTTAGCCGATTTGCTGGCCCCGATGGTCGTTTTGTCAGCAACGTTCAACAACCCAACCCAGCCGCCGCTTTCCAATGTTCTGCCCTGGTCGTGAGTGCCAACCGATCCCCCTGACGCGGCGCCCTCTCCTGTCCCCTTGCCGCTTCCCCCACCCCCTCCCCCACCTGGAGGGCCTGGAGATCCCCCTCCCACACTCCCCTGCGACCCCGTCGCAGGGGGGACCTTCCAGTCCACGCTTCCCTTCGAAGGGCTTGTATCGAAGTCGTAAAACTCGTCCGAGAGTTCCAACCACCCCTTGTCTTGAAGCTCCAGAAACAAACGATCAGCGTGTTTAACGATGGCCGGGTCAGTGGCCTGGAAACGGGGGTTCTCTGACGCCACTTTATCCGCCACACCACTGCTTGCGAGTTGCAAGTACTCGGACTTGGGAAGGCGCAAGCGTGGCTCCCACTGCCCAGCCGAGTCCACAACGACCATGATCCACTCCCCTTCGCGGATAGCAAGCTGGATCGTTCCCGGGTGCCAAATCATGTCGTGACCCCAGTCTGCTTCACTGGAACGAGTGCCCTTCAAAGTGAATGGACTCATCCTTCCAAGAAGGATGTTCCGGCGGGACTGCACTCCCTGGACGCAAGCGAGGCGGGGCAACAGTACGGGGTGTGAGTTTCGCCAACAACTTGTTGGGGGTCTTGTCGGGGGTGGACCTGCGAACAGGCGTCGCTGGAGTGGCCTGGCTTGACGATGCACCTGCCGTCGAGGAGCCCGGGGGTGGAAGAACAGGAGCAGGGAGGTAATTCAGGGCGATTTCCTTGGTGTCGCTATCCTCCTCCGGAACATTCGTGTCGAAAACGACTCTGGTCGTTGCCTCTTCGTCCGCGTCAATCAATGCACTGTAACTCGCGACCCTGAGCTCCTGCTCCGACTCGACAAAGTACAAACACTCCAGCCGGTCCAGGAAGTTCTTCGCATTCAAACGCGAGGCGCCGTGGTAGTTGTCCAGCAACGCCAACATGTGCTCCCTGCGTCGAATATACTCAGGGTCGATGTCCCTCCTAGGCCGCGTCTCCAGGATGAGGAACTCGTATATCCTGTCCCTTTTCCTCTCGCTTAGCTTGAGCCACATGTCCGTGGACGGCTCCCAAGCGCGTCGCGTTTTGTGGGTCCTCGAAATGAACTCGCAGCGGTGGGTTCCCGAGTTGACCGCGCCTTTCAGGAAATCCAGCGTGTATTGCAGCAACTCAGAATTCCCCTCCAACACTACGACGTTGCGACCACCCTTCAAAGCCTCCCACACGACTTGCGCGTGCGCCTTCCCGAGAAACATGACACCCTCCCCCTTTTTGCACACGAATTCCAGCAGATGGGCCAAGTGCGCGGGGTTCAGTTCCATGTCCTTGTAAACTTTGTGGTCATGGCCAGGAATGACCAGGGGCCATTCACAAGGCTCGAACGGCATCTCCGAGACGTCCGTCGGTGTGACTTTGACATGTGCCCCCACAGCAGCAGCATCACCCGCCTCCAACCTCGCGTCATAAACCACAGACGTGTTCTCCCGCAAGTCATCACCTTTGAAGAGGATGTACATGCGATCGTCCACTGAGTACAAGTTGTTGCCGACCGCGAAGCTTTTCTTCTGCTGCGGCCTCCTCACCCACTTTCCTGCCATTGCCTTGACAACGGACAGATGGCACAAACTGGTCATGAAGTAGTAGTCGTGCTCCCGGGGGACGAAAGCAACGACCGTCCAGTGCGACGGGAACAAATGTTGTAGAAGGGCATTCAAACTCTCGAAAGCTTGTTGTGTCCACTGTGTGATGTCCACAGGCTCGCGCAAATCAAGAACGGCAGCGTGGCATTTCGTGATCCCAACCGCTTTCTCCAACTCGACGACCTTCATTTGTGCCTCCAGAGGATCGACGCCAAAGGGGGCGATGGATGTCACATCCCCCGAGTCCTGCCACCGAATATGCACCATGCCTTCGGCGAGCGCGACATCCATGCTCTTCGACCTGCTGCCGGTCAGCATGGAAAGGACCTTGTTCTTCCAGTCGATGGACAACTTCTTGTTGAGAACCAGTTTTTCCGTCGCCTTGATCGACTTGTCGTCCTCGCAGCCCATGAACGGGGGACAGTCTCTGAACAACGATGAGTCTCCAACGAGTTTCCTGCTTCCGTCCCACAATGCTGCATCCAGTCCCTGCCTTTTGAACTGCACCAAAATCGCCTCTCTTTTCCGCAGAAAGGGATACGAACGCGTCCAATTAGAGTCGGGCCAATTCTCATACTTGAACTGGTAGTAGTTCCATAACCGCACCAAGATGCGGTCGCACTTCACCAGATGCACTGCCTCTTGCACCCCCAGCTTCCCTTGCTTTGGCAACGCAGAGGAGCCGGTCTGCACCCACACCACCTCGCAGTTGAGAACCTTCTTCAGCAGCCGACATTTCTCATTGTCTGTGAGGGCTTCCATGCTTTTCCAGCAGTGCGGATCCGGCTCGTTGACTTGGACGAACTAGTCGTCGGATTCCTTTTCTTTTTTCCCTTTCTTTTGAGGCGCTTCGACGGGGATGTTGTAGACGACCTCCTTTCGCCCAGTCTTATCATTTTCGATGTGGCTCACACCGGCCTTCACGCCCTTCACCTTCTTCTTCTTCGCGATCCACTTCGCCCCTTCGGGTGCCAGCAGTGTGCCCGTCTCCCATTTCTCGAAAAATTCCATTCTCATTTTCCACGCGCTCTCCCCGGCCATCGCAAGCGGGAAATAAGATCGAAGGGCAGCGTTCTGTTTTCTTATGCCTTGCTCGGTCTTGTCATCAGCGAGTGTCCACAAATGATTGTACGTTGTCTTTTGAAGCGCATCTTCACAAAACTGGCGCCAAGACTCCACCTGAGCCTGTTTCCCGCTCGGGTTCCCCATAACAGCTCTGGGGTAACCCTTTTCCTTCCAGCACCACCGGATGTCCTTCATCGAAAGTTTTTGCTGTCTGGGAGGCGCCTTCAGCTCCTTTTTGTTATCCTCGGCGCTGACCAGAAAATACCCTTCGAAGTCCGCGTCGAGGAAGTACATCATTCCCGCAGGCCACCTCTCGAAGTTGTACCTCACCGCCACGTCTGTGCCAAGCAGCGTCCTGGCGGCGACCACATTATGCTGGCCGGCAACAGCGTAGTAGTAGTATTGGTCCGCCAGCTCAACCTTCCAGTCCTCGGGCTTGAGGCGTTGTGCACGCACCCACGGCTTCGGTTTCTCCAGCCCCAACGGCGCCAGCTTCAGTGTGGGCAGCTCGTAAGTCTTCGAGGCCCGCGAGTAGGCCGTCGTCATCGTGTCAATAATCAGTTGTGTATGCACCGGATCCAAGGAACGCTGGTTGTACCCCGCTTCCCACTACTCGATGTCGACGCCTTGCGACAGGTTAACAGGGATCTCGCGCTTTGTGCGCACGCCGTCTTTCCATTCGAGGAAATATGCCACATCGACGTCGATCGGACCCGTCTGCTGCACAGGGCCGGACAGGGGCTGAATTTGCGCCGAGGATGAGCGTTTGTGACTCGCAGCACCCACATGCCCCTCCCCTCCCTTCCTTTTTCCCCCTGACGTCTGTGGGGTCTTTGTCTTCTGTTTTTTTTATGCAGCCGCCGCGTCTCCACGGGAATCTCCCCTTTTTTTTTGTGATGACTGTTGTTCACCCTCTTCTCCCCCGGACAAGACGCCAACAGGCCTCCCCCCCGACCCCATTGTGTGACCACCGGCTGACGTCGAGGGCCGCTCCTGGACCGGTGTTCTTATCTCAACCCCCAGAATGCTCAGCACCCTACGGTCTCCCCCTCTAACCGGCGAACCCGACGTCCTCTCCTCTTCTTCCTCCTCGTTGTCATCGAAGCGACCACGTTCCTCCCCGCGGTGGAGTTGGAATGAAGCACCGGAACCCAAATCTCCTCCCTCGGACGGAGCACCGCTTGACTCGAACCCGGTGCACATCTACACAGGCTGCGATAACGCCAGGTCGCATGAGATCTGGCAGGGCTCATCAAGGTGGACGTCTTTCTTTTCCACCAAGTTGAAGAACTCCCTAGCAGAAACAAGACCTTCAGCCGCGAGTTCTGTGTAAAAAAGGGTCCTCAAGGCCCCTGCACCGAACCCCGAAAACAGATCCCACGACAGGGCCGCCCCTTTGGAAGCAGCCACGCTGCCGCCCTTCGAATTATAAACCGCGTGCAACTTGAAATACTTCTTGTCGTGACTCCTAGCCGCTTGCCATCCCTCAACCGAACCAAGCACTCTCCGGCGTCTACTATCTTCCACGAATAGAACAGGACCGCACGGCGCTCTCGTGGGGTAGTTCTCATCCCCACAGCACCAATCGACATACCATTTCACGCGCACATGACCGGATTACGACTTTCTGGTCGTCGATTCCCTTCCCGAGGTCCCGGTAGGCTGTTCCTCGCCCCTTGACGTAGACATTCTGTCTGCACTAGCCCAAACGAAAGAAGCATCGGGAAACACGGAAAACACAAACAATCAGCACAACCGAGAAGTTCGGATGCAGGCGGACTAGCCATGATGCGGCACACAAAAACCAAATTTGTGGCCTGTAGTAAACACAACAGTCTCTAAGCGGAGGAGCGTTGCCGTGGAGCGGAGGGCGAAGACGCCCTCCGGACGTTATCGCCTGCACAGCCCCAGGAAATGTTCTGAACAGAGAACAGCTCTCTGCGCGCCCTTGTTGACCGCACGTAAGGGGCAAAACAGCGATAGTGTTCGAATGGAGAACCCCTGTGCGAAGTCCGGATACAGGCGAACTTTTGTCGACTAATCTGTGAAACCGCGCGTTCATTGAACGCGGGTTTTCCGTTCAGAAACTGAACGGAATGCACGCACGTTCAATGAACGGGACCGAACGCGGAGTTCAATTCCGCACGGGGGAAAAAAAAAAAAAAAAAAAAAAAAAAA